GTACTTAAGTATCAAAAGTAAATTTCTGATACAAAATCTACTTAAGTATTAAAAGTAAAAGTACTGAGTAAAAGTGAGCAGTTAGATTTTCCTAAATAACATTTATTGGGAGGTGACTTCTCCAAAAAATACTTTTCTAATGGCGTGCAGCTGTGATGGGTTGTGTACAAGCTAACAGGGTGTCAGAATGGTATATATTTATACTTCTCATCCAAACACAATTAAATTCACTCTATCCAGGAGACACAATTTATCAGGATGGTATTTTTTAATTAATAACTCGGAGTAAAACAGGAGTAACGACTTTCTACTTCTTACCTTTTTTAAAAATGTAGTGAGTAGAAAGTACTGATAATTGTGTACAAATGTAACGAGTAAAAGTAAAAAGTACGCTGAAAAATAATTACTTGAGTAAAGTACAGATAACCAAAATTTCTACTTAAGTACAGTAACAAAGTATTTGTACTTAGTTACTTTACAACTCTGGTTCTGTTACATAACAGAACTCTCCTCTCCTCTCCACACACAGTCTCTCTTCCCTGCTGTGACAACAGTGACATAATATAGTAATGAGCCATAACCACAACAGAACATAATTCACTCATAAACCTCAGAACCCAACACAATGTAAAACATTGTAAGGTTTATTAAATGTTGTATCGCTTGTCAAAATGATTCAAGCGTTACTGAGCATATTTTCAACCTTTACAATGTCCAAGTTATTTCTGCAGGAATAATATAACATTCCTGGAGTTTTTCCAAGATTCTACAGGAAGTGTCACATCTAACTGCTGCTGGTGCAATTTGCTTTTTTTTTTTTTTTTGGTAACCACAGACATACAATTAAAAAAATCTGTAGAAACACCAGTAAAATATTAGTGTGCAGTGAAAATGCATTATTGATTAGTTACTGAGATCCTGTTCAAGCCTCCTGTATGGGGTGCCGTTTGTAAAGTTACACAGTCAAAAATTACCACCAATATTTTTGTTTTATTTAGCCTTTCATAAGAAAAAAAGAACAGATTTATTTTTCAAAGTCTGTTTTTTACCATATGATTCATACGTTTACAAATGTCATAGTTTATAAACTAAATCTTTAACCTACAAATTAAATATTTAGTTACCAAGCTAAATTTTTAACTTGTGACTGAAATGTTTAGTTTTGAGCTAAACATTTCAGTTGCAAATTAAATATTTAGCTAGCCACCTAAATATTTAACTTAAATATTTAGCTAGCTACCTAAATATTTAAGTTMCAACTTAAATATTTAGCTAGCAAGTTAAATATTTAGCTWGCCACCTAAATATTTAACTTAAATATTTAGCTAGCTACCTAAATATTTAAGTTGCTAGCTAAATACTTAGGTATCTAGCTAAGTATTTAAGTTAAACATTTAGGTGGTTAGCCAAATATTTAACTTGCTAGCTAAATATTTTAGTTGCAACCTAAATATTTAGCTCAAAACTAAATATTTAAGTCACAAGTTAAATATTTAGCTGGTTAACTAAATATTTAATTTGTAAGTTAAATATTTAGTTTATAAACNATTTTAGAGTAAATGGTCAGGGTTAGGATATAAAGTCTAAAAAACATGAATGGAAGTCAATGGAAGGTCCCCACGGGGTCGAGAAACAAACATGTGTGTGTGTGCGCGCGCGCGCGTGCTCCGTGTATGAAGCGTAATACATATATTACGGTAGTGTCAGAGTGTGGCTCCGCCCCCTCGGGTTGTGTCAGAGTGTAGCTCCGCCCCCTCGGTCTGCTTGTTGTTTCAGCTGTATTACTGCAGTGACAGCTCGCTGAAGGACACACGGCTCTCCTCCTGTTGCTGTGACACACACGGACACAACAGACAGGTAGGTCAAATGAACATTTCAGAATCATGTCCGTGTAGAAACATGTCTCGTAGCTTTTTGTTCCTCCTCTCAGAAAACAGGCCCGGTAGCTGCTATGCTACGTTAGCTGAAGTTGAGCGATAACCTTGACAGGAACGTGACGTTTTTCACGTTTGTGTGTTTGTTTAATGCAACACACAGGTCCACACTTGTGAGTCTGCACAGCAGAACGTTTCCCCCCCGTGTTGTGTTGTTTAACCCTACCTGTGAGATCTGCCCTCTGTAGATCTGCAGCTCTTTAACAAGTCAACGGTCCTCATTGAGCACAGGATTTATACTTTATACAACAAGATTTATACTTTATACAAGATTTATACTTTATACAACAAGATTTAGACTTTATACAAGATTTATACTTTATACATTAAGATTTATACTTTATACAATAAGATGGTTTTGAATTGTTGTCATTAAATGCTGGTCTGCAGCAGACATCACTCAGTGTGTGTTTGAATGAAGAACGGGAACTTGACCTTCTTTGACTCGGGCTGAATGCAGCCAGAACCAGAACACCAGGAGGTTCTGGTTTGTTGCTCACTTTGTGTGTCTTTGTGTGTCACTTTGTGTGTCTGCTGAACTCGAACCGACCCACTTTATAAATAGACAATATCTGGATTCTTGACCTTTTCCTGATCAGGCTGCAGCAGTGCTCATGTGCAGAGGGAGGTTCAGTGACTCACAGGATGGACTTGTTCTGGACTGGACCCAGAGAGCAGAACTACTGGACCTGTTCTCTGCACAACCCGTCATGTACACACCATTAAATTACTCCAACTGTTACAGAATTACACACAGATATCTATCTATCTATCTATCTATCTATCTATCTATCTATCTATCTATCTATCTATCTATCTATCTATCTATCTATCTATCTATCTATC